CTAACAAGAAGATGTCATGAATGACAACAGAGGCAAGTGGTCTTAGAAGAAAAAACTGATCAACTCAAATACTAGAGAGGATTCTGGTAAAATTAAGTTCTAAAATATATCCACTATTTTTGGCAATTTAAGGTCATTAGCAAGAGCAATTTGTGTGATGTGGAGACAAATGTAAATTGCAGTGAGATACAAATTATTTGGGAAGTGGGAAAGAGTAAGCAAAGTAAAGAGTTTACTTATAAAATTTGTGAAGCAGGAAACAGAGACAATCTCTGGAAGGGATTATATATTTGACATATTCTGAAGGGAAACTTCAGAATATTCCTGTAAATGGGGGACATTATTCATCAGCCAGGGTGAATTAATACCTGAGAAGCCTGGAGTTAAAAGCTATCTATTGGTGTTCTGCCCCTGGGATTAGGGTATATGCCCAGAAAGTATTTCACTAACCCCATAGAGTACTTGAGTCCTATTCCCACTGCAATGTTAAAAAGCATTGGTCCTCAAGGATGCTCAGAATAGAATAGGGAGGGTCTAGAGAGCAGTTCACAAGAACCAGACATCTCAGAAATCTAATAAATACAAAAACCAGACTCCAGGGGTATCAAGCAATGACAGGGATTTGTTCTGACCAACAAAAGGTTGAACAAAGGCAGCTGTTGCCAGGAAAATAGAAGCAGCTACAGAAGACCTTGCCAATCTGAGAGTCTCTTCACAGCCCCTCCTGGTATAGTAAGTAAAGCAGTCAATGACTGAACGTTGAGAGCTGAGGGAATAAACTGGACCATGTCCTGGAATTCTGTCCTGATCTCTAAATTTGATTACATGTCTGATCTTTGGTTTTCATGGTCAGCTTTCCTTGTTTGATTCTTTTTTTTTTTTTTCAAGACACAGTCTTACTATGTCGCCCTTGGTGGAGTGCCGTAGCATCCTAGCTCACAGCAACTTCAAACTCTTGGGCTTAAGCAATTCTCTTACCTCAGCCTCCCAAGTAGCTGGGACAGGCATGTGCCACAATGCCCAGCTATTTTCTTGTTGTAGTTGTCTTTGTTGTTTAGCTGGCCTGGGCCAGACTCAAACCGGCCAGCTCAATACATGTGGCTAACACAATAACCACTTTGCTACGGGCACCGAGCCCCATTTTTGATGCTTCACCTTCAGTGTTTCCCTTTTCTCAGGTTCTTTACTTTTATAGGGACTAAGATCTCTGATCAAGAAAGGAGAGAGAAATGAGGCTGAGCTCTAAGATGGTCAGTGAATAAATGATAAACCAAGGGTTCTAGAATAATAAATTCTGTCTCCAAGATCTCTAAAACAAAAGTAACTCCAAAGAAAAGACTACTTGATCACATCTAATAAAAGACATGTAATTTTATATACAAAAGACATACTATTTAAGGTAAATAGTAGCCAAATTTCCCATTACATCCAACCAAAAGTCAAATATATTTGCCATCATAATTATTTTATATTGATCACAAATTTCCAACCATTTCATTGAGATATGAAACAAAAATTAAGAGATATCAATATTTGCAAGAATAAAAATATTTCTTGTAATCAACATTTTTTACTCTACCAAGAAAGTTTTTTTAAGTATGAATGGAAATTTTAAGTATGAATGGAAATTTTAAGAATTAACAATAGTTCAACAAATGGATGACACAAAAGATAAAATAATGAAACAAATAAAATTACAATTTATAAAATAATAAAAGCAAGATATTTGCCAGCAATGGTTAATTTGTTACTATAATACAAAAAAAATCACAAAACACTAAAAGTAGTACAAGTTTAGCAAAGTTGATCGATGCAAGAGGAAATAAAAATTAATTATCGTAACACCAAAAAAGATAAATCTAATGGGTTTCGTATGCCAGAAATCTACAGTAGAATACTTAAAGCAGAAAAACATATTCACTAAAAAATCCCAAAATACTAATAATGATAAGAGTGCAGTATAAAATTTTAATGAGATATCTAAAGATTTAAATAAAATGAAAAGGGGATCTATTTTATGAATGAGAAGACTGGATAATATAAAGATGTCAATTTTTTTTCAAAATTAATCTGTAGATTTAACACAATCCCAACCAAAATCATGTTATTTTAGAGCTCAACATAAGAATTCTAAAGTAAATCTGGAGAAAAGTGCATAAAAAGGGATTTAAAACTGAAGGAAATAAACAAAATATAGTCCTGTTGTATATCAATTATAAAACTAAACTTTTTAAGTTAGTTTAATATTGACACAAAAATAACCAGAAAGAATAGAGATAACAGATTCTTAGTTATTTTGAAGTGTACCCTTGCATTCAAAATAACTAAGAGTAAATTATAAATGTCTTACCACAAAAAATAAGTAAGTGAGGTGATGGTTATGTTAATCAGTTTGATTTAACCATTCCACATGATAAATCAAACCATTATATTGTACCCTATAACTGTATACAGTTACGATTTAATAAAAAATTAAATTAAAAAAAAGAAATAATAGATTCTCAGAAATGGAATTTTATATGTGTCTGTGTTTGTGAATGTGCGTATAAAATTCCCATGTGACAAATGAGGCATAACACCTAATTAGTGAGAAGTATAAAAACCATTGTTTAATTATTAGAAATCTATTTATTTACATACCTCTTATTAACAGCAAAATTAATTCTATATAAATAACCTATGTCACAAAAACAATAGGTCAATCATCAAAAATTAAGTCTTACAAAAGTGAATATTAGTCAAATTTTGAGTAAAGGATGATATTCTATAATAGCTTCTTGTCTGGATTGGAATTTTTTAGGAATTTGATGAAAGCTAAATGGATCCTCTCCCAGGAAAATGTAAATGTAGATAATATAGATTTAGGAAGTTCACATATTCCCATGAAACTATCTATAAATCATTGGTTGAAGTGTCCTAATTTAGTCTGGGTGCAATGTTTGCCAAAATGCTATAATCCTAGCACTTTGGGAGGATCACTCAAGGCTATGAGTTTGAGACCAGCCTGGTCAACATAGTGACATTGTATCCCTACATTAGCTGAGCATGACGACACATACCTGTAGTCCCAGTTTCTAGGGAGGCTGAGACAGAAGGATAACTTGAATCCAAGAGTTTGAGGTTGCAGTGAGTTATGTTGATGCCACTAAAATCCAGCTTGGGCAACAAAGCAAGGGAAAAAAAGAATCCTGTTTTAATATTAAAAGATAGAAAAGACATAAAAGGAGTATAAATATGATTTTTAAAGGTGAAATATACATGTATCCAAATATCTATTTGCAACAAAAACTGAACAAAAATTAAAAAAACTATTATAAAATCACTTGATAACATCTAGTAGTCATTGAAAATATGTTTATACTACTTGGGAGACTGAGGCAAGAGAATCACTTAAGCCCAAGAGTTCAAGGTTGCTGTGAGCTGTACGGAGGGCAACATAATGAGACTCTGTCTCCAAAAAAAAAAAAAGAAAAAAAGAAAAGAAAATATGTTTATAAAGAGTTAAAATGTTTATAAAGACTTCCCCAGTAAATTGGAAAATTCACATGTAGTATGTTAAAAGAAAACAAAGGATGAAAAATCCTATTTATATGAAACATCAGCTATATAACAAGACTATGAAGAAAAAAGCTGAAAATTAAATATTTAATCTTTGGTTGCCAGGATTTTCACTTTTCTTTTTTGTTCTCTAAAAGAGATATTGTTTTATTTTTCTTATTTTTTTCTCAATTTCATAGATAACATATTTATCATAATCAATAAATGGCATAGTTATTCATTCTTCTCAGAGATGGTGAGGAATGAAGTCTTGATCCTACACTTAGTGCCTTAAAATAAAGCAAAGGGAGAGATTTGGAAAAACATATTATTGATATCTAAAGATTTGGCAAACTAAGGTATTATTCATAGATAAAGGTAATACAAAGAATTCTAATATGTTCAAGGATTCCCAAAGCATAATGCCCAAGTATACGTTTTGAAAGTGAAAATATTCTCCAACAATTCAAAAATGACCAAAATTAAGAATGAAGAGAAGTGGCAGCTCCCATAGCTCAGTGGGTAGGGTGCCAGCCACATACACCGAGGCTGGAAGGTTCAGACTTGGCCTGGCTAAAACAATGACAACTGCAACAACAAAAACAAAAAATAGCCAGGCATTGTGGGGGTGCCTGTAGTGCCAGCTACTTGGGAGGCTGAGGCAAGAATATTGCTTAAGCCCAAGAGTTTGAGGTTGCTGCGAGCTGTGACACCAAGGTACTCTACCCAGTGCAACAGCATAAGACTCTGTCTCAGGAAAAAAAAAAGAATGAAGAGAAATATTAAACAGCCAAGAATGAGTCATGAAATGCTTGCTAAATTTCCAAACTATTTCACAGAAAAATCTGGAAGTGGTTGGAAGTTTGTTGGTTATTTTCCTTCCTTACATCATTTATCAATAAAATGTATGATAGTATGTATTCAAGATTACTTTCATAATCAGAAGCTGAAATACCTGATATTCCTAGAGGGTATTGACCTGTTGGCTACAATATGATGGAGGGAAGGCTGGAAATGAATGCTAAATATTAAAATTTTTGCTGTAGTTTAGTCCCCTATTAGTGTTTTCAATATATGATTCTTATGCAGACCTATTTCCTCATATGTGAACAGCAACACCTGCATGGTGAAGATTAAATGAGATGATTTGTGTCAGAAACAATTTGTCAGCCAAAAGTTCTGTTTAAAAGAAAGGCATGGTCAGGGTTTCATGATGGCTGCTTATTCTGTTCCTGAAATCCTCAAGAAAGAAGACAACACTTCTGCCCTCTAACTTTACCTGCTGAAGATCAGGTTCTTTACAACGTGCATGTCTCCTTCTTTGTGCCCAGGTTCCCCAAATATAAAATCCACCCAGAATTTCAGAAAAATAGTGAATCTTCACTTTTATTCTACTAAATATTCCACTAAAATCCTTATCTTAGAATCTCTTTTGCCCGTTATGCTCTATTTTGTTTGTTTCATGCCAGATTGGTAATGTGTTGACTTCATAACAAAGTTTGAGGGAGGCATATCTTACACATGTGCATGGACACCCCAGTCATCACACTTATGAACTACAAAAGAATCTTTTTTGTTCTTATCTGAACTTTTCCCAAGGATCACAAGGAGGGTAGAGAATGTCAAATGTTAAAAAGGCAGAGTTATTGTGAATGAGTTTTATTCCCCTACAAAAATTTGACCCTCAGCTAAATTAACCACAGCCTTGTTCTGTTTCCCCTTAATCCACAGGCAGATGCTGGGAACAAGACATCCCCTGACATGGATACTGCCCCAAGAATAACGAATAACTCAGAGTTTCAAGTATCTGAATTCATCCTGATGGGGCTCCCAGGCATTCATGAGTGGCAGCACTGGCTCTCACTGCCCCTGGCTCTGCTCTACCTATTAGCTCTGGCTGCCAACATGCTCATCATGATGACCATTCAACATGAGCCCAGGCTACATGAGCCCATGTACCATTTTCTAGGTGTACTGGCAGTGGTGGACATTGGCCTGGCCACAACCATCATGCCCAAGATCTTGGCCATCTTTTGGTTTGATGCCAAGGCCATCAGCCTCCCTGAGTGTTTTGCTCAGATCTATGCCATCCACTCTTTTATGTGCATGGAGTCAGGCATCTTTCTCTGCATGGCAGTGGATAGATATGTAGCTATTTGTTACCCACTTCAGTATCCCTCCATAGTCACCAAAGCTTTTGTGATCAAAACTACACTGTCCATGATGTTCAGGAATGGCCTTTTGACCATTCCAGTGCCTACACTGGCTGCCCTGCGACACTACTGCTCCAGGAATGAGATTAACCATTGCCTGTGCTCTAACTTGGGGGTCACCAGTCTGGCCTGTGATGACATAACCATTAACAGGTTTTACCAGTTGGCCTTGGTCTGGATTGTTGTTGGGAGTGACATGGGTCTGGTCTTTGCTTCCTATGCTTTGATTATTCGCTCTGTTCTGAGACTGAACTCGTCTGAGGCAACATCAAAGGCCCTGAATACCTGCAGCTCCCATCTCATTCTCATTCTTTTTTTCTATACAGCTATTATTGTAGTGTCTGTCACTCACCTGGCAGGAAGAAGGGTTCCCCTCATCCCTGTTCTCCTCAATGTGCTACATATTGTCATCCCCCCAGCCCTTAACCCCATGGTATATGCCCTTAGGACCCAGGAACTGAGAGTGGCTTTCCAGAAGCTTCTTGGTTTAGGTGAGTATGTATCCAGGAAGTGAGACAACTTCAAATGACAGGACATCATATGGAGAATTGCAGAGATATCACAGGCTTTGGAGCCCTATTTTCCTTTGTTAATATTCTCTCTCTCCCAATTGCTAGGAACATCAATTCACCTATTTTGTATAGCACATAGTGGATATAAGGTACTTCTCTAATCATTTTGCAAATATAAACTTTTTTAATTCCTGTAACAACCCCATGAAACAAGTATGAATATTATTTATGCATTTTGCAGATTAAGAAATTAAGTTGAGAAATTTGCCCATCATCACATAGGAAAGAAGTTGCAGGGTGAGATTAGAACAGAAGAGGCCAGGTCCACACAGTCCCTGCTCATAACCCTTTCTACCTATTCAACTTCACTACTAATTTTTTAAAAGGTTAATTAAGATAAGAAAACAAATTGAAATTATGTATCATTTCTCTTTTAATAAAATAAAATTTCATTTAAAAGTTGTTAGCAATTTTTCTGTTTAATGGTAAAGATAGATTTTAAATTGTCTAGAAAAATTCATTCTAGAAGACCTCCTTAATTATATAAATGTAAGTCAAGAATTTGACAGAAATTACTTTGTAGGCTCAACATCTATAGCTCAGTGGTTAGGGCACCAGCCACATACACCAGGGCTGGTGGGTTTGAACCCGGCCTGGGCCAGCTAAACAACAATGACAAAAACAAACAAACAAACAAAAAAAGCTGGGCACTGTAGTGGGTGCCTGTAGTCCCAGCTACTTGGGAGGCTAAGGCAAGAGAATTGCTTAAGCCCGAGAGTTTGAGGTTGCTGTGAGCTGTGACACCATGGTACTCTACTGAGGGTGACATAATAAGACTGTCTCAAAACAAAAAAAATATTTTGTCACTTCACAAACTCTGTATCAACTCTTGAGTTGATTTACATTAAAGCCCTAAAAGGACTATCCCAGCCACTACTTTTTAACATTCAACATTATTTGATGATCTTTTCTAATGAATTAAGAAAATCCCAATCAAGTCTTATAGTTTGTGGACAGTGTGATGGGTAGAAAATTTTTCTAAAAGGAGAACTTTCCACTTAAGAAAAGTGATATATGTCCAGAAACAAAAGTAAGGAAAACCTAACAAAATTATAGTTATTTCAATGCCAGCAGGTCAGCAAGAGTGGAATATTGGCTTAAGAATGGTGTGTGGATCAGAATGGAAAACTCTCTTGACCCAATTACATGGCATTATGGCAAAATTTGGGAAGAGAAGCCTAATTTGTGCCAATCAATTTGAAAGTCCAAGTGTGAGAACTTTAGACCAAACTCAAGCATTCCTAAATCTTGTTCCATTTGATAGAGTAAGATAATTATCAAGGGCATTATTATATCTACAGATAAGGCAAAATTAGACCATGAGCTTTCACCTATTTGTAACAGTGATCCCACATATCAAAACAGACATACTAACAGCTGAAAAACAGCAGTAAACTAATGGGTGGATAAAAATCTTCTCTTCCTCTTTCCAAATGCTGTTTGAGACCTTTTGACATTTCAAACAGAGAAAAATAAATCCTACAAAAGTATGAAATAATTTCTTCTAAGTTATAAGATTTCTACTTCGAGTAATGCCTGCATAATTCAGACAATGCTTCCCGCTGATAACAAGTAAAAGTAATGAAGATTTTTAAATGAATATAAAGAGATTGAAAAACTAAAAATTAGTATAAATTATGTGGCTAAGGCTTAATCACAAAAGAAAACTCTGAGAGACTTCCTTTTAGCCCCAGTATGAAAAGTAAGCTTAGAAGTTGTCACTCTCATTCTTTTTTTTTTATTAAATCATATATACATAGATCATGAATACATTTATGCCTTTGTGGGATTCAATGTGTTGATTATTTGTACAAATTGGAGTGCTTACATCCTACTGATTAGCATAGCTTTGACCTCATTTACTTAATCACAGAGTTAAGACATTTGTATTCTATACTTGATAGATTTGATTTGTACCCTTGCAACATGCTCCATAGGTGTGGTCGCACCATTAACCCTCTCTGTATTGAACCACCCCCCCCCTTCCTTTCCCATCCCCTACCCCTTCCTTCCTTCATCCCTGGCTATAGTTGTGATTCATCTCTCACATGAAAGTGTAAGTGATTATAAATTGGTTTCATAGTAGTACTGAGTACATTAGATATTTTTTTTCCATTCCTGAGATACTTTACTAAGAAGAATATTTTACAGCTTCATCCATGTAAACATAAAAGAGGTAAAGTCTTTCATTCTTAAAACAAGAAAAATCTGGACAAGCTGAAAATCAATTGCTTTTTCTTTTTTTTAACACATCAGATAATTGAGGTCACAGAGTTAAACTACACCCTGGAGTCAGAGATATACCCTTACTCGAAATCTGATATGGCTCCAGTAACATTTTTCCCCTAGAGAGTAGGCTTCTATTATAGAGAATGTTCTTGGCTTATTTCTCAATGTTATCTATTCCTCTTGCCCTGCCAAATACATAAGAGGATTTTTCTTGGCTCTTCACTATAAGAATCTGTGAGACTCCTAGAGATGAAGTATGGGATCTTCCTAAGAATACTCCCAATTTCTCACTTTTAGGCTAGTCCAATTTCACCCTCCAGTAATTTTTCAAAATCACTTTTTAAGTCTTTCTACCAGTTTTTGGCTCCAACAGCTTGTGATACTTGTATCAGAACCTCAGCTGTGATTTTCAGTATTAAGGTGTGTCCAGATTTGGGGGGTGGCAATATGCTCTGCAGCATTGATTTTCTCTTCGGTCCAAGAGAAGTCACTATTTTTTCTTTGCTTCAGCTATATTTTCTTATAAAGACAAAGAGTGACAACTTCCAAGTTCTTTACAAGTCAGAAGTGATAGGTTGGATTAGAGCCCAAAGTTCAGAATAAATATCCACAAGTTTATATAAATTACTCAACAAATAAATAAAGAAGAATAAACAAATTTCCCATGCAGAAGAATTACAAAAAATTTATGTAAATGTATCACATTAAGTAGGGTGGAAATAAATCCTCAAATCTTAAGTGCATAGGAACTTATTTCCAAAGAATACAGTATGGATTCAAGTGGCTAAGGCACCAGCCACATACCCCTAAGGTGGTGAGTTCGAATCCAGCCCAGGCCCACCAAAACAACAATGACAGCTGTAACCAAAAGTAGCTGGGCGTTGTGGCAGGCACCTGTGGTCCCAGCTACTTGGGAGGCAGAGGCAGGAGACTCACTTGAGCCCAGGAGTTGGAGATTGCTGTAAGCTGTGATGCCACAGCCCTCTACCCAGGAGGATAGCTTGAGGCTTTGTCTCAAAAAAAAAAAAAAAAAAAAAGAAGAAGAAGAAGACAGTATGGAAAGAGGAAAAGAATAACTTTACAAATGAAGAAACTCAACAAAGACTACTTTAGCAGGTGATTAGGTTGAAATTAACAGTAATGTCAGTGCTCACTCTTCTGCACCACATATACTAAAAATGGACTGATACAGACATTAGGTAGGCGCCTATGAAAGGATGAGATGCAAATTTATGAAGTACTTCATATTTTTACAGATAAAGAATTCCAAACACAGATTTCAAGGAAGTGCGACAAAATCCAAGAAAAAATGAAAAACCAAATCAAAGAAACAAAAACATAATAATAATTAAGGAAATGAATAAAAATTCACTAAGGACATCAACATTTTTAAAAAAATGGAACTTCTGAAAAGGAAAAAATTTAAGGAAACACAAAACACTGTGGAAAGTTTTAAGAATAGACTAGACGGGGGCGGAGCCAAGATGGCGAACTGCAGCCAGCTTTTTACAGAAGCTCCCGTCCAGAAGGAGGCTGAAAGGACAGAACCTTAGCAAATTAGCTGATGGTTTGGAGCAGAGACAAGAGAGAAGATTGAAGAGTGCACTTCAACCTTCCTGAGGCGAGCTGCGACCC